TGACTTTGTCTTTTACCTACTCATCAGATCTTGCCTTCTTCCTCGCTTCCAAGCTCCTTAAGACCGTCCCTCAAGTAATTAAATTGTTTCTTAATTATAACATTATCTTCTTTAATTTTGTTTAATCCCTATATAAATAATTAGGATTATTATTCGATTTTGGCATGGGATTATTAATAGGCAGCAGCAACGACGTGTTACGTGGCAACGAATCCAAAGTTGGTGAACGTATCGGGGAAGTACTTTACGGACTGCAATGAAACGACACCGTCTGGACTCGGATCAGACTCTTCCGAAGCTACCAAATTATGGGCTGCTTCTGAGTTTCTAGTAACTCAACATTCCAAGACCGTTTTCGATCCATTTATCCAAAGATAAAAATGGAAGAAGTAATTATCTTATTTTATATACCCTTAGGGAAAATATATATTTTAATGTTATTAGATGAGGAAAAGTTATTATAGAAAGTTTAGTTAATCCCCCGAACTTATTCTGTTATCAAGAGACTACTCATATAAACATATAATTAAGTACACATATATATATATATAGTATTCTGTTTCTATAATACGTATCCCAAGCTGATGTACTTTTGTATTCTTTGTTTATATACATAGTTATATATATCAAATGAGAAGTGGTAGATTTTAAATTTAAGCTATTTTCATTTAGTTTTTGTTTTATCAAAGTATATAGTATATTATAAGATGTAAAGTCCAACTTGGACTATTATACTTTTAATTAAAATACTTAATCTTAAGTGGGAAATCAATCATAATGTCAATCATTAGTTTCGATTTTCGAAAGTGCTTGGAAGTTCGTCTTATCTTTTGATAATTCTCGTGATTACATTTGGACTGATCTTTGAGATATCTCTCTCTCTCTCTTTATTTTTTTTATTTAACTTTTATTTCTCAAACAAATCTGTTCTTGACATTGACTATTCATATGTCCATGTGAGACATTAAAAAGAAGTTCTGGCTTTCCATCACTGTTTTGTAATTACGTGTGATGCTATTTGGATTTTTGATTTTTCTTTTAATAACGAGTTTGCACTTTGCATTGATGATTAGTTAGCCTTTGCTTTATTATTTAAATCGATATTAAGCCGTACGTGAAGCATAGAGGAAAACCTTTTATATTTTTGTAAATGCAGTACACGTGAAGTTATGCATATGTTAACTAATAAACTAACTTTCTGCCCATGTTCATATAAGATAATTAAGGAGAAATGGTATTACGAATATATAAACGAAAAAAATATGGATATGGTTGAAGAAATTAAC